CTTCTATTGGTAGTTTGTAACTTTTCTGGTGTCCCACAGTAGCACTGGACTGAAACCAACTGGTGGACACTGCTAGGTCCACTGAGTGGCTTCTAAGCACATATATTGTGGCAAAACATTAGTTGAACCTGGAGACACCACCAAAAAAGCTATTTTAAACAGTGACTGCATAGGTGTGGTCCAATGACCGTGCTCATCCCCTCCTGTCCCATTTGTACCTTCCCACCCTGTACCATGTGCCACCAAAAGCTCTAGCAACAGTCAATAAATGCTCTGAACTTAGGTACTCCCCTTATCTACCTTGGCCATATGCCTTGTATAAGAAACACACACTCAAATATTCTCTGGGATAGGCAGGACATATAAGTTGAGCTCCATTCTCAACTATGCAAAGATTCATCAGGAGCAATAAGCTATGCCCATCCGAAGGTGAGACTCTCATTGACTCAAAAACTGTGCAACATAGACTTCTGAAATTAAAAACTAAAAATACTCAGCATGGGGGCTGGAGAGATGGCTCAGAGGTTAAGAGCACCGGCTGTTCTTCTAGAGGTTCTGAGTTCAACTCCCAGCAACGACATGGTGGCTCACAACCATCCCTTATGAGATCTGGTGCTCTCTTCTGGTTTGCAGATATACATGGAAGCAGAATGTTGTATACATAATAAATAAATAATAAATAAATAAAATCTTTTTAAAAAATTACTCAGCATCTATTTGCCAACAACTACAAAAAAATTACTACTTGCAAGTCATTCTGTGAAGAGCATACCCAATAGAAGTGTCATTTATACAAGTCTTTACTGGTTAAATAGCACATGAGGTAGGTAGAGCACTGGGTTGACAGCCCCAGCATTTGCAGTTTGGTTCTTTATTTTGAGCTCTTGGGGATCAGACAACCCCTGGCTAGCTGCTAGACACCCAGACTGTCACTTCTGAATGTTCTAGTCCACTGAAAACTCACTAGGTTCCTGATGCTCCTGATTAGAGACGAAGGAAATGCCAAGAACTAATTTGTTATCTTTGGCAGGTCCTTATTGCAAATACAGTGAGTGTTCCAAGTGAGGGTGTCTGGAAACAATGGGGAGTAATGTTTACTAACAAATCCTAACACCTCAGTCCAGAACAGAGTTGTATTTAAATGTGTGATTTAAAAGCCTTTAATCCACTAAATACACTAGACAGTTTACAAATCAGTCTAGGTTAGTCTCCTGAATAGATTCTATAGGTAGAAGAAAGCCACACAGATACAACTGAAAGAAAGTGTGAAATGCATTAAGGGAGACTAACAAAGAGAGGGAAATCCTGCAGATTGTCTGTGTGTTCATTTCTACACTGACTCATTATCCAAAGCACTGGAAGTAGCCATGGCTGTTCTTTCTAATCTGTAAACGCCTGCCCCTATGGTCCATTCTGAAAAGATCCAGGGAAGTGTCTCCTACGAACTTAATTTCAGAGATGAGGATATGGCTCCATGGATAAAGAGCTTGCTACACACATGAGGACTTTAGTTCAGATCCCCTAAACCCACATAAAAGCCAGGCATACCTGTGCAGGCTTGTGACCTAGCACTGAAGGGACAGAGACAGGTGGAGTCCAGGGGCTCATAGAGCAGCTGGTGCCAATGAAATGGTGAATTCCTGGTTCAGTTAGAGTCTCTGTCTTGATGATGATGATGTAGAGAAATGAATGAAAAACACTTTCTGAGGTAACCTCTAACCTCTACACTCTTCTGCACAGCTGATTGCACACACACACACACACACACACACACACACACACACACACACACACACACGCGACTTAATTTTGAATGTCAATTTAAAAGGCAAAAAGAATTAGGGATGTTGATCATTGGTGGAACACTGCCAGCATCCCTGGGTCCCTGGGTCCCTGGGTCCCTGGGTCCCTGGGTCCCTGGGTCTCTGGGTCTCCCTGGGTCCCTGGGTCTCCCTGGGTCCCTGGGTCCCTGGGTCGGAGCCCCGGCATTGCAAAAAAGCAAAGCAAAAATGAAAGTAAGAAATGAGGGAGGGAGAGAAGGAGAGATGGAGGAAGGGAAGGGGAGGGAGGGGCAGAGGGGGAGAAAAGTTACCAGCATTATAAAATCATATCAAGAGAAAAACTAACACAAATTAAAAAGAACACCTCCACCATCCCATACTTCCTCCGTTAAGAACTGAAAGTTCAGGTATCACAAAACACATCATAAATGAAACCATCATAAACCTCTTGCATAGATGACAGCTACAGAAACCGCCATGAACACAGAGAAATTCAACGCCTTTCAGCGCTGTCTCTCCCTGTTCTTTCTCTGCCCCAGGCTCTTCGGTTTCTAAGTTCCATCAGATTTCTTGCAGTTCACTTTGTTCCTTTCGTAATAAAACCTCCTTAGTCCAATTTACCAGAGTGGAAAGACTCCACTTCATAGTCTACAAAGGAAGAAAACCTCGCTCACTTGCCAGGCCCTGCATGTGATTCCCAGAAACTGTAAAAAACGGTATGCACGGGGAGATAGAGGCAGGCAGATCCCTGAGGCTTTTTAACCAGCCAGTCTTGCCCATGCACGCACGCATGCGAGACACACACACACACACACACACACACACACACACACACACACACACAAATAATAAAGGTAATTATCACCTAATTTAATAATGAACATACAATAAAATCAACTTAAGGAAAAGTTAATGAAGGAAGAAGGTTGGATAATGATCAAAGCATACCCAAGATTTAAAACACTGCTAAGGGAGAACATTTCAAATATGAAAACTCAGTCATTTGCATATAAAGCTAAGGAAGATTCATAAGCATTTATACCTTTACAAACGACACCTTTTTGTTGGGGGGGGAGGGTTGAGACAGTTTCTCTGTGGCTTTGGAGGTTGTCCTGAAACTTATGCTGTAGACCAGGCTGGCCTCGAACTCACAGAGATCTGCCTGCCTCTGCCTCCTGAGTTCTGGGATTGAAGGCATGCACCACCTGACAACACCTTTTTCAAATTGTGATAACATACGCACATCAAACTTACCATCATAATCACTTGACATACACAGTTCAACAGTGTTGAGCACACTCCCATTGTCTGTGCAACTAACCTACTGAAGCCCTGCCACATTGCAAGGCTCACACTCTCTACCAACTCAACAGCTGCTGTGGCACTCCCCCACCACACCCCCGGCCCCTGGCACCACCACTCTGCTGTCTATGTCTATGAGTTTAACTCCTCTAGGAATTTAAGTGGAGTCAAACATTTGTGATCTTTTACATTTTTCAATTTACACATGTTGATTTTGTGTGTGTGTGTGCCCTCCAGTGCTCACATCCTACAGTGAATTCTGAAGGTCAGATGACAACTTGCAGCAATCAACTCTTTCCTTCCACTTGGGTCCAAGGAAAAAATTTGAGGTATCAGACTTGGCAGCAAGTTTCCTTATCTGGTGAGCCATCTCACCAGCCCCATTGCTAGTCTTTGGTTTTTTGTCTTTGGGGTTTTTCTAGGTAGGGTTTCTCTGCATAGCCCCAACTGTCCTGGAACTTGATCTGAAGACCAAGCTGGCCTCAAATTCACAGAGATCCACCTGCCTCCCAAGGGCTATCCTTAAAGGCTTGTGCCACCACTGCCCAGAGTTGCTAGTCTTTTAAAGTGACACTTTTAAACCAGAGGAACTAGTAGCCAACATAAACGGAAATATCTATACCACAAAATGATGGAACAACACAAAGCAAAACATGAACGGGGAAGGTCCCAGAACTAAAGCTCCTAAGACATGATGATCTTAACCAGAGCATGAGTTATCAGAAATTAAGGTCCTCTTTTCTAAATATCCCTTAGACAAATACCCCTTAGTCTTTGCCTAAGCAAAGACTGGACAGATTGGAACAATTCCAGATTTCCCCATGTGTAAGTAGCTCCTTTGTACTTTAACGGTGGTCTCAGATTCCTCTTTTCCAGTGTCCTTCAAAGCAGAGACAGGAGCAGTAAGCATCGCTTCCTCTCCGCTTCTGAAGACTTGATATCTTGCCATCCCTGTAAGATCAGAGCAGAGGGCTAGAGGTATCTCTCAGTTGGTAGCATGCTTGCCTAGAGACCACAAAGCCCTCGGTTCAGTCCCCAGCCCATTTTGAAATTAAGTATGGTGACACATGCCTATAATTGCAGACCTCCGGAGATAGAGGCAGGAGGGTCAGAAACACAAGTCCTTCCTCAGTCAACCTAGACTATACAAGACCTTATCTCAAGGCGGGAAGTGGGGCAAAGAGGACCAGAGTTCAACCAGAAAGGCATGGATGAAGTATTTGTAGCCTCCTCACCCTGGTCCCATACTAGAAGAATCTGAAACCTTGTTGGGTCAATATCTGCCTGAATGAGCATGTCTCTGAGAGCCTACAAACCTCTAGGGGAAGTATATGATTAGCTCTTCTTATCAACTGAAAAAAAAAAAAAAGCATCAGTTCATCTTCAATACCCGAGAAATAACCAAATCAAAGAGGAGAGAGCCTCATTAAATGCAAAATCAATTCTGACGCTAACGCTAATTTTGACTTTGATAACAATACAAACAAAAAGCTACATGTTGAGAAATGTTCCCTCTCATCTCTCCGAGGGTTTTAATTACATTTGTTAGTCTGGGATACACTCTGACATTGGGAAATCATGGAGCAAATTGAATGGAATTATATTTTCTGAAGGAATTACCAGTCATCAAAACCTCTCAAAGCTTAGGAGACAGTAATTCTGAAAAGAAAAAAAAAAAAATGGCTCCACCTTATTTTTTCTGTCTGACCCAGCCTCATAAAAAGAGCCAGTAGAGTAGGTTCATGGAAAAGAAATTATCCAATTAGGGATTAAGAAAACTGTAACAGGGATTAGGAAATGACAGAGAAAAGGAACACCCTGCTGATGTGGATATAAGGGCCAAAAGGCAGACTAGAACAGGCTATTCACTCCACCTTTCCCAGTCTCTGGAGACGGCTCAGCACTGGCAGGAGCAACATGTTTTGCTCAGCTCAGAGAGGGTCCTGCTCCTCCCGAGTCTCCTCCTCTTCCTCTGGAGCCATGGGCAGCAGGGTGTGCTCTGCTGGAAGCACCTTCAGCAGTGGAAGCGGCTGTGGGCTCGGGGGAGGGTCTTCCTGGGGCTTCCAGGGAAGTAGCAGCAGCTGTGGCCCTAGTGGGTGGTCTAAGGGTGGCTTTGGAAGTGGCATTGGAGGGGGCTTTGGTGGCTGCTCAGTAAAGGGTGGATTTGGAGCAACCTCTGGCTTTGGTGGGGGCTCTGGCTTTGGTGGAGGTTCTGGCTTTGGTGGAGGCTCTGGCTTTGGTGGGGGCTCTGGCTTTGGTGGGGGCTCTGGCTTTGGTGGGGGCTTTGGCTTTGGTGGAGGTTCTGGATTTGGTGGGAGCTCTAGTGGAGGCTTCTCTAGCTATGGAGGTGGTATGGGAGGTGGCCTTGGTGGTGTCAGTGGCAGTGAGGGGGGCCTTCTCTCTGGCTCTGAAAAGCAAACCATGCAGAACCTCAATGACCGTCTGGCCACCTACCTAGACAAGGTGCGAGCCCTGGAGGAAGCCAACACGGACCTGGAGACTAAAATCAAGGAATGGTATGGCAAGCATGGGTCTGGAAAAGGTGAATCTGGAAGAGACTACAGCAAATACTGGCCGATCATAGAAGATCTGAAGAACCAGGTGGGACCCCATGGCTATGTTCCTAAGCACGTCTTTCACTCAGATCATATACTAATATGAATTTCTTTTTACATTTGTGTGTTTGTGTGTGTGTGTGTGTGTGTGTGTGTGTGTGTGTGTGTGTGTGTGTTCTTGTATGTACAGAAGGGGCATGTATATCTTTGCACAAGTGTGGAAGTCAGAGGACAACTTATAAGAGTTGCTTTCTCCTTCTACCATGTGAGTCCTGGGGATCAAACTCAGCTCATCAGACATGGCAGCAAGAGCCTTCACCTACTGAGCCATCTCAAGAGCCCATGATGAAATGCTAAGTCAATGAATTATTTGTGTGTGCAAAATGGGTCGTCCTGTATCTTGATTATAGCAATCTTGCATATGACAAACACCAATCGTATTCTGTCTGAATCTCAGATTTGAGTATGGAATTCCTACAATTATGGATAGCCCACCTGACAGGCATATAAGAGTGATGGTACCAAATGGTTAATTAGGGTGACCTAATTACTTCATGACTCATTCTGACGGGTTAGTACATTTTTGTCTTTCCGGATTCATCTTTAGGACTATTATTCCTTTAGAATCTGGTGATGTATGAGTCTTGTATTTTTAAGTGAAATTATGTGTTTAACACTAGTTTCTTCAGTCGGTGGGGAAATGGCTGATTGATCTCGCCAACAGGAGAAATAGGCAAAGGACAGTTTTCTATAGAACAGTGTCCTGTGTCTACCCCAATAACTATGCAAGCTGTTTCCTGTCACAGAGGCATGTGATGCTAAGCATGCGTGTGCCACTGTGAAGGAAGTCTGCGGGCCAACCTGACTTCAATGACATAAAAGATGTCAACCCTCACAGGTGGGTGTCAAAAGTAAGAGAAATATCAGCTAGGATTCCGTCTTCCCTCTTTCCTAGGTCATTTCAGCCACCATTGAAAATGCCAGGATGGCTCTGCAGTTCGACAATGCTAGACTGGCTGCTGATGACTTCAGGGTGAAGTAAGAAACATGAAGTACTTGAAAACAAGTGTCATAGGGAATAAAACAGCACAACTGCTGAGGGGAAAAAAAAAAAAAAACCTTGAATGTTTTGGGGTTTTGGTTTTTTTGTTTTTGTTTTTGTTTTGTTTTTTGCTGTTTTACTATTTGGTTTGGAGGGGGCTTCGTTGTATTTGTTTTCTTTTGTTTTGTTTTTAGACAGAGACTGGTGTAGCCCAGGATGGAGTCAAATTCACTGTGGAATGGAGGCTGGCCTTGAACTCTTTATCTTCCTGCCTCAGCTCCAGACTGCTATGTTACACGAATGCACCCCCATCCATAGCTCACAGGAATAAACTTTGGAGGACATTGTTGGAAGAGGGCAGGGGAGGGGAGGGGAGGGGAGGGGAGATAGAGTGGGAGGGAAGAAGGAAATGGGGAGAGGGAGAGAGGAAATTAAAGTTGAAAACCATTAGAAAAATATTGCACATAACTAGAATTAATATTAGAAATTATTTTTATTTATGAGATTAAAAAATCATCAAAGAAACCTCAGCCGATTTTATTTATCAACATAATGGGGGGGTGAGCCAGGCAATGG